CCTATGGCCTCCAGCTCTCCTTGCGGCCCCTGGGGCGACAGCTCCGGCTACTTTGGCTGTCGGCTGCGCAAAGAAAGGGGCTTCCCTTTCCTGTCCGTCACCCGATTGCTCTTGAGTGACAGTCGCCAAGTGTCTCATCGTGCTGTCGCAGGAAGACGGCCGTTCTCAAGCTGACTTCGTGGTTCCGATTTGTGCAAACCACCGGGAGGGCCCGGGGTCCGGGCAGTCGCTGCGGCCCAGACGGAACCGCCTCTTTCGCCAGCCGCTCCGCCCGCAACACGTGGTCTCAGCGACTAGGGACGGAATGACAGAAGCTGCCCTGCTCAGGCCGGTCTGCCTGCTCCCTAGGTGCGCTCTTCCTCCGTGACTCACGGGCCAGCAGACTCTTTCTGTATAAAATTACGTACACATGACTCTTCGGGGACTTCCGGGGGCGGGGGTTATTATGTTGCACGTGAAATAATCGAGGCCCTGAGAAATGGGCACCTGAGAGTTAGCAAGAAGCTCTCTTATTGGTGCAACAACTGTTCATGTGGGATCATTTCGGATTGGGGGGGAAGTTGCAGAGACAGCAGAGAGCCCGCCTGCCTGTCCCTCACCCAGACGCCCCTGCGTCCACAGCTCACACAGCCACCGTGCGTTTGTCACAACCACGCGACACGCGTAATTTGAAGACCACAATTAGGCGCATTCGGTGTGTTGACCTCCTTGACCTCCCACAGGAATATTTTCCTGTGCCATTGAACATTTTTGTGAACTATCATTTTAATGTCACCTTTTTAAAGAGGAAACTGGGATAGTAACTATGACTATCAAGCGAGGTAGGGTGCAGGCGAAATTTTGATAGTGTGTAACACATAGCTGCTTCGGGAAAAGCTGCGGGCACAGGGGGCGGGGCCTCTGCTGAGAGACCTGATGCCGCAGCTCCCTCCCACCCCACCTGGGGGCGGAGCATCAGCTGCGGGCTGGGTCCCGCTCTGCACCTGCCCTGCTGCTGGCCAGCACAGGGGTCGGGGTCGGTCTCCTCTCCAGCCTCCGTTAGCAGATTGCGGTAGGAGTGCGTCCTCACTGGAGACAGTTTAGAAGACATAAGCAGAAAGAGGCAAGCACGCAGCGCCCCCGCACAGCCTCCCAGAGACGCCCGCCCTCGGCGTGTGGGTGCACGCCGGGGGTCACGACGTTTTGCAATCTGCGTTTTCACTTGTTCATGACCACTGGCCCTAATACTTAATATTCTCCTAAAAAATTTTCCCCCAGTGCATGCCTAGAATTCTCTCCTACAACTTTATGATAACTGTGTAACCCCATCTCACCTTTATGAACATTTAGAGTGTGTGTGGCTTTTCTTATTAAAAGGGTACTGCAGTTTTTCCCCTGCTATGGGACTTTCCCCGACTTGGGTTGTTGTAATACATTATTTCCCCTAATATATTATTATACTATAATGTATTTTTATGAAGGCTGTGACTAAGTGGCCTTATTGCCTCAGGGAAAACCCTCCAAGGTAGAATTAGTGGGTTAGATCAGCGTCCAATTATTGCCTTTGCTGAGTGGTTTCCAAGAGGCCCCCGGAACAAAAACACGCAAACAAGCAGAACAAAACAAAAACGTCGCAGGCCCCTGCATTTGGTGGGGGAAGCACTGCGGACGTGTGGTTCTCAGAAGACCGAGCCCCGGCTTTCGTGACCCCCTGGTTACACGTTTCTGTTTCAGCCAACAGCGGGGCCACCTGGGGGCCCCGCACAAGGCGGCGGGCGGGCACCTGTGTGGGGCACGGAGCGTGAACCTCGGCCCGAGGAACCTCCCAGGACTCGGCTGAAGGAGACCGGAACAGACACGAGGAGGAAGGCAGGAGCCATCACCCTCGGTCATTTGGAGGGTCGACACCCTGATGGTAGTGCCCGTACCGCACATGCGAAACCACCCGCGAGGTAAAGCAGTTCTCAGGAACGTCACGGGCCTGTCCCCGGCTCCTGCCCAGCTGGACGCACAGCTGGGCTGCTGTGGGGCTGGGCTCCCGTCCCAGGGAGACCGTGGGACCTGCAGGGACCGAGTCCACTCCCGCTATCTGTGAGTGGTGACACAGGTTCTGCTGTCCTATCGCGGGGGCCTTGCTGAGTCTCCTTTTAATTTACTTCACACGGAGTAACGTGGGATTAAATACATTGTGTTTAAAAGAAAGATTCCTAAAGCATTTACTAGGTATAAAAGGACACTTTTTGAAAAGTTGTGCAGGAAAACAGAAGAAAGAAATTAAAAATACAGCCCTGGCTGGTGTAGCTCAGTGGATTGAGCACGGGCTGCAAACCAAAGTGTCGCAGGTTCGATTCCCAGTCAGGGCACATGCTCAGGGTACATGCCTGGGTTGCAGGCCATGACCCCCAGCAACCACACATTGATGTTTCTCTCTCTCTCTCTATCTACCTCCCTTCCCTCTCTGAAAATAAATAAATAAGCTTAAAAAAATTAAAAATATCTCAGCCCCCAATAGATTTGTCATAATACAGTATCAATTAAAAATAAAATTTACAAGCCCTGGCCAGGTGGCTCAGTTGGTTGGAGCATCGTCCTGAACACCAAAAGGTTGCAGGTTTAATTCCTGGTCAGGACATGTACCTAGGTTGCAGGTTTGATCCCCAGTGGGGGTGTGTATGGGAGGCAACCAGTTGATATTTTTCTCTCTCCCCCTTCCTCTCTCTCTAAAATCAATAACCTATCCTCACATGAAGATTTTTTAAAATTAATAAATAAAATGTGTCAGTTCTATAACAGTCACAATTTGCAGTGATGACCTTTTGATAACCTACCCATACCTCAATAACTTTGCATCCTGATTTATTTTTTCCCTTAGCATAGTTTTGTCCAGGAAAAAAATTACTATGAAACTAAATTTTTCAAGTGGATCATGCTGAAAAGTCCAGGATTTTTTCTAGCTGTTACCTCTAGTTCCTGGGAGGAAGAAGCTGATCGGGGACTGTCTTACAGGAGGAGATAGAAACGGGTGCCGGGGAAACAGAAAGAGGAGAGACACGCTCGTGGAATTTGGAGGCTGGGACCTCCCTGGGTCCCCACTGGCCCCCCGTTGTTTGCAGCCCGCCCTGCGCGTCCGCCTGCCAGAGCCCGGGGTGCTCTGGAGCGCCGTGCCCCTATCCCGGCTTCAGAGCAGACATGGGCCACCCAGAGGAGCTCCTGGGCTTGTGTCCCGCATTTAAATTCCTTGGTGGAAGGTCCTTGGAAGGCTGGGGCATCCTTGGATTTCTGGAACGACTTTATTTTCTATTTGCACACGTGCGCGAGAATTAGGTCAGGGTTGCATTTCCGTCCGTGACTGCAAGAGCCTTCCTCCCCTTTACTTTCTCCCCACACCTGTGTCCCCCTGTCCCCTGTCTCCCTCCCTCATTCACCCGGGGGCTGCCCTATCTGGGGGGCAACGTGGAGGAAAGAAGGTGGAGTCGGAGCGGACGCCTCGGGCCGGAGGGATTGAAAATTCCTCATTGGAGAGCGTCTGTTTGATGACAGTGACAGGCGCAGAGGAGAAAGAGGGGTTTGAGCTGATTGCCGAAGGGCTTGCGGGGTTGTGGCGGGTGGATGAGGACAGGGACGCTGGGGTGGGCTGGAGGGTGGGAGGAAGTAGCAGAGGTGGAGGACCAGCATGTGGGTGACAATGAATCCCTGGGGGAGGGGCAGGGATGGTGCCGGAGGGGGACGGTGGAATGGGGGGCGAGCCATGGAGACAGGAGACGGCGTGTTCTGGGCACTCCGTCCCTCCGGGGTTTGGCTCACCGGCCTGATAAATGCTCGAGAAAAGCTCCCGACAAAATGCAACGCAAGTATTGGGTGACGTGTTTGCTTTTGTGAGGGTCTTCCAAGCTTTTACTGGAAGATGGGGAAACGGCCAGCAAGCAGCAAGGGGCACGCGTTAGTCTCACATTCACCTGCACGCAGACTAAAAAACACCAGGATAAAACACTTCCCTGATCTGCTGAGCTGGGAGATTATTCCGAAATAACTTTTTGCTGTCCCATGAGCCTGTTTATACCGCTGAAATGGTATTGCATGATCTGGTCTGCTTTTATGACACAAATAATACCTGCTTCCCTAAAGACATGGTCCCTGGGTCCCCAGGGAGCCTGGGCGGCTCAGAGGAGCCGCGTGGCTGGAGCCACGTGACAGTTCAAGAGGGATTCAGTGGCCCTGCGGGGAGTGGCACCCCACCCCGGGGCCCAGCGCCATCCTGGGTCTTTGGAACCAACGCACACGCAGGCGTGCACGGACGACCACCGCACAGGCCCGCAGGCCCGCTGAGCGCTGCGCCGACCTTAGCAAACAGAGCCAGATGCTCGAGGCCTGTGGATTTGGAAGCTGAGGTATCTTTCCTGCAAGGGCTCCACCCGCAGACTAACCTTTATGCCCCAGACTAAAGCCATTTGTTTTCAGGCCTTGTCTCCACGGCCCTCGCCCGTCTCCAGGTGAGACAGGGAGGCAGCTCGGGGCTCTCACTGCGCAAGGGAGGCAGGTGAAACATGAAGATGGGAAAACTAGTACTAACGGTCTCCTTTTTCTTTAAGGTACAAAGCCTTTGGTGTGGCATACGGGTGCAATGCCCGACCCGGGCGTATTTCAGCCATTCTCGGCTGGACCTCTTCTAGACGTTCCCAGGGTGTCTCCTTGAAGACAGACTCCCCAGGCAGAAAAGAGCTCCGTTCTCCCGCTTCTTGCTGGAGTCGAGATCAGTGTGTGGGGTCTTGGGGGAGCCGGGAGGTTTGCTTTGTGAACGCAGGTTTTGATGTCTCCTCTCTCGCTGGCCGCCGCCGCCTCGCTCCCCGTCTGAGGGTTCCAGATTACTTTGAAATGGAAATGGTGGAGAATAAGACCCAAGACTGACGTGATGGATTTGAGTCAGTAGACTGTTCAGTCTCACACACACACACACACACGCACACGCACAGGCAGAGTCTGAATGTTGGAGAGACGGAGTGTACAGTCCAGCGAAAATGGTGTTATCCCAGAAACTCAGCCATGAGGTCAGCGCCAGGGCTGAGCCTCAGGACCCGGCGGTTCCCACGCGGGCGGATGTAACCAGTTCCGCCCGCCGATTTGCCCCCCAGCACGAGGGCGTTTCTGGGAGGCGGGAGGGACGGGAGACCGCTGCGCCGGCCCATCCGGTCATTTAGACGGTGGGTCCAGAGCAGGGGTGCCACACTCATACTCATGTTCACCGGGGGCCGCATCAGCCTCACCGTGGCCTGCAAAGGGCCGAATGTAACTTTGAGGCTGTGTACACGTAACTACTCCTTAACCAGGGGCCAGGAGCTCGGCGCTGCCGCCGGGTAGAAGTCAGGTGGGGGGCCGGATTCGGCCTGGGAAACGTGTGTGAGTGTCCCCTGTGCCCTGAGCCCAGGACCCTCAAAGCCGGCAGGGGGCGGGGGGCTTGTCCAGGGGGAAGGGCTGTGGAACAGGCTGCAGGCCTCACCCCCTCAGCTCTGACTCTCGGGCCCTGCACGCGGGCTCGTGCGGTCAGACCTTCCCATTTTTCTAGAGAACCTAAAAATCTGGATTTTTACGTAAAACGTCCCGATGTCCAAATGCTGGCAAGCACGAATCCGTTTACAACAAGCAGCATGAGGGTCTGCAGCTGCCCTCACCTCGCAGGGCCACTCCGCGTTAGAGACTGGGGCGGGCTCGCGGGCCGAGAGCCGCTGAGACCCAGCCTTCTCGCTCCCCACCTGGGCCCCGTCTTCGCGGGCGGGTGGGCGTGCTGCCCCGTGGGGTGGGGGGTGCGCATCCGAGCATGGGTGTGGCCTCCGCCCCAGCTCGGCTTCTCCGGGAGTGGGAAGCAGGCACCTGCCTGGCTCTTCTTTACAGGAAAGTTTCCTGATGATGGTGAAATAGCCACAAGGTAACACGGACCATTTTCACCGTCTGCGCGTGTGTGTGGTTCCCGGCCTTAAGGGCATTTGCGTTGGCGGGCGGCCACCACCGCAGGCGTTTCCATCCACCTGCGGGCTTCCCACCTGCTCAGACGGGACGTTCACCTCGACCACCTCGCTCCGCGGCCGCAGCGCAGGTGCCGGGGAGCAACCGGTGACGCCGACAGCCAGGGCGTGGCTGGGGGGGCCCCACGGGGTTGTGGGGGGGGGTGGCGGGATTCCAGGCACATGCTGTTTTCCTCTGTATCCCTTTTGAAATGGCCAGTTTATTTAGGGAAATACATGATCCTTTTATCATGTAAAGAATGATGCCGGTCTCTTTTTTTGAAACATGGTCCTAGGAGCCTCCCTCTCTCTCTCTCTCCCTCCCCTCTCTCTCTCCCCCTCTCTCTCTCCCTCCCTCTGCCGTGGCTCCACGAGCCCTGGGGCTGTCGTCGTGCTGGCGGGGGACACAGAAGCGGGACCCGGGTCTGCGAATCTTGCTCCCAGAGCTCTTCAGTTGCTGTGAATCGAGGGGGGTCACTGGGCCTCGAATGGCCAAGCGTCGTGAATGAGCACGTCCCCGTAAGGGGGCTCTTTTCAGATTCCCTGTGTGAGTTCTTTTCAGTCTAAAAACCGACTTGCTCAGGTCCGCTCGGAGGCTTCGGGGGGGAGGGGCATCGCTTGGGGGCGTGGCTACTGCGGTCGCCCGCCCTTCCCGCGCGCGCAGGTGAGGCAGGCACGCCTCTCCGGAAAGCCCCCGCGAGCATTTCCAAACCGGCGGGCTGATGCCAGACACCTGGCACGTGCGATGCTCCCCAAATCCCGGAGACTTTCCTGCAGGGGCCCCCGCGTGGAGGGCCGGCCGGCCGGAGGTCTCCTGCGTCCGGGGAACGCCTCCCGGGTTAAGGCCCAGGTGCGGAGGGCGCCCGGGTGCGAGGGCGGGCCAGGGCCGACTTGGAGAACGAAGCCCTTCGCTCTGCCCCGGGAAGCTCTGCGCGGCGCGGGGCCCACGTCCCGAAGTTCCTGACGTTAAGCTGGCAGGGCTGCTCCGCTCCGGCCACCCCACGCTCCCTGCAGGGGGTCACCAGGCTTCCAGGCCCAGGGGACACCCGGTGAGGGCGCGGGGGCCTGACGCCGGGGCCTGGCTGGAGGAGGCGCCTGTCCCCACACAGGCCTGTGGCCTCAGCAGCCGGAGGGTCTGCACGCCGGGGCTGGCCCCCGGCCCAGCCCACTCAGCCCCACCCCGGCGCCCTCTGTCGCGTCCCTTTGCAGACCCCAAGCCCTTACTTAGCGCAGGCCTGGCAGCGAGTGGCCTGCCTGAGGACATGCTCAGGGACAGGGCCGGCCACTGGGGTCGCCACTGTTGCCGTGTCTGTTTTAGGGGCTACCCCACCCTGCAGTTGGGGGCAGGGGGATGGCTTCAGCACTGGACGTGCTTCTCCCGCCCTCACCTGGACGAGGACCTGGGGGACCCTGGGGGAGCTGCAGCCTCGGGGGGACGTAGGAGTGGCTCTTCCAGACCGGCAGGGGCAACGGGGAACCCGCCTCCATTTCTGTTGGGAGACTGGGCCTGTGTGTGCTTAAACTTCTGAGATTCTGTTCATTGTGCATTTGTGCATCAATTTTGATTTTTTTTAAAATGTTGCATTAAAATATTATTTATGATGATAGACGAGGTATGTGGGGTGCCCCCTGAAGTTTTTTTGTCCCAAGGACGGGCCTCAGGGCGCCCCCAGGCCGGGCCCTGCCTGCTGCCCGAGGCCCACGCCTGCAGGGGTTCCCGAGCTCCCCTGTCTCAGCCACCCTGCGTCCCATGGAGGCTCACGCGGGCACCTGCGCAGGCCCAGGGAGCGGACGGCAGGCCCGGCCTGGGTGGTTCTGCTTTGGGAGCCGGGGCTGGCCAGTCGCAGCACCGATTTCTGGCTAGACGCTGTTGGCCAGTTTGAGGTGGTTGTTTAATGAAAGAGTTTGAGCCAAACATAATTACTGTTTACCATTTGAATATTAATGAGGTTTCTCCTTCTCTTTCCTTCTCTGCCTTTTCCCTGTGAGGAGTGTTCGGTTCAGGAGAAGCACTGGACGCAGCTGAAACTCGCTTTGGGGGCCGTCCCCGAGTTTGGGCGCCACCCCTGGCAGGTGCCCACGTGAACCTCTGTGGGACTCAGGTGGCTGAGACTGGGGAGCACCGCCCCCTGCGCCCCACCGGTCTCTCCCGCCACCACGTGCAGGGATGACTCAGCGGTGACGTCATGCGCCGGCCTGGTGTCCGTGCCCTCGTGGCCAGCCAGCTGCTGCTGCTGCGCGGCGCTGCCCTGAGCTGGCGCGCCGTGGGGAGAGAACAGTGTGCAGTCGGCGTGCGGCCTCTGCAGCCGCAGCAGCCGGGAGGCTGTGGCTTCTGAAGAACCCACTGTCCTCGGGTCAGAAGCGGCCGTCCCCGTGCCCACCCCGCACCTCGGAGCAGCACCTTGGCCTCGGGATGGACTGGTGCCTGGGCCCAGCCTCGGCGGGGTCTCGGGGTCCCCGGAGGATGCACGGCTCAGGAGAAGTGACTGGAGCGAGACACCCGGTCATCTGGGTGCCGGAGGACAGCCATGCTTTTGGGTCCGACTGACTCCCCGAGAAAAGTCAATCTTTATTTTTATAGGGGGGGTGATACAACATTCAGTGCATAGTGTGATTATTAAAACAGAAACGTTTACCACAGAAATAATTTCTAAAAGTTCAGAAGGTTTTACAGATCAGTCATGTTAACCAAAGAAATAACCGAAAAGGTACAGGAGGTCCCACAGATCAACCATGTTAAACAAAGGTTATTGTGACCAAGAGAGTCATCAGTCAGATAGCCAACGAAGCTACACGAGCACAAACTTTCAGGTGCCAGTTAGTAACTAGGTGTCTATTAAGATTCAAGGTATAGGTCTAAGTTGAAAGGGTGCAAGGGGTGATTTATAGCTAGCTATATAGAAATTAGCTACTGTCCATTGAGGTTAGATTTGTCTCGGTTAGGTATCTGGTTTTTTGCCTGGGTTTGTTGATTTATACATCTTGGGGCGGGGCCACGTTTTGTGTTTGTTTCCATGTATTGAGATTATTATTTCCAACTAGAACTCCTTGCTTCCTTACACTCCTGTCCAGGGTATGGGAGGGGTAGTGGCTCTAATAAATCGTAAGCTTTCAGGTGGTGACTCCCTAAGAAACATTCCTAGCAACAGCTTCCTCCAGCGTTCTGGCAGTTGGTCTGCCCATAGTTTAGTTTTGTCCGTAACTTCCCAGGTGGGGGAAGTAGGCAGCATTAGGGTTGCTAGGGGCCTCTATTCTGTGGTCAACAAGTCATTTCGCACAGAATCAGAGGCATCGTGCAGATTTTTTGTTATAACGCACAGGTATCCCCAAACCCCACCCCCTACTGCTAGTGGAGACAGGTACGCAGGAGGAGACAGACAGGAGACCCGGCCACAGTCGCCTCTGCTGTGCAGACGCGTCTCATCTGACCTGACTGTGTCAAAGGTTGGCTGTGGGTCGGCCTCCAACAGACCGGCTCCTGGCCGGGCCCCGAGGGAACGCCTGGGGTGGCAGCTGGCAGTGGGCTCCCGGGGCCAGGGCACTGGGTCACAGGGGCAGCTCGGGTCCTTCTGTCGGGGGGCTGTCCTTGGCGTCAGCCAGGTGGCTTGGGCCCGGCCAGGACCCAGGAGAGGAAGCGGGAATGGCGGGGTGCCCCCCTTGCTGTCTGAACAAGTGCCCGCCCGAGCTCGGCACAGGTTTGTGGACGACGGGCCCGTCTCCGTGAGCGGCGACGAGAAACCACACCTGCGACGTCGCCGGCTCACACGCACGCACGCAACCCTCCCAAGGTGGGTCCCGGTCGTGAGCTCTCCTCGGAGAGGGAGAGCCCGAGGTCCCGAGGTCTCGAGGTCCCGGGGGCTCCAGTCGGCGGCGTGAACTGCAGAGACCGCCTTCCCATGCGCTCCCGGCCGCGAGGACCCGGGGTTCCCAGGCCACGGGGGTTCGGAGCTGGCGGACGCCATGCAGTCCTCCGTGGGCCAGAGTTGCCGGCTTTGCCTCCTGGCCGTGGCCGTGACCGCCTCTGACACAGCAAGGGCCGGAGGACCCAGGACTGCAGACAGGGACACGGTGACACGTGCCAGGAGCATGCGAATGCAGCGAAGTCACCACGAAGACAAAGTGCCCCTCGGACTGGTCAGCTGCAGACACAAAGTCACCGACTCTCCATCTGCTCAGCTCTGCTTTTGAGGCCGGGAGTGGGAGACCCCCGACCAGCGCGACCTTCGTGCCCTGTCCTGCGGCCTCAGGACCCGGGACACAGCCGTCTGCGAGGCACGGGCCGCAACCTGGACCTCTCGGCACCGTCCTTCCTCACCTCGGCCGCCACCGGCTCTGCCCAGGCCAGAAACGTTGTGTGCCGGGACGTGTCACAGCCTCAGTGTCACACCCACCAGGCCCGGTCCGAGCAGCACCAACCACAGCCAGACCTGGGGCCGAGGCAGCGGGGCTGAGGGCGGAGGGGAGTTTAGGGAGGGCCCCCTCGGGGCTCTCCCCCCTGAGACGAAGCCTCGTTTCTTTCCCCGTCTGGCCTCCGAGGCTTCCTGTCATCGGCCTCAGCTCCCCGGGTCTCCACGTCCTCAGGCGGCTGCGTTCCCATCTGGGAAATGGGCCATCGCAGCGCACACACACAGTGAAGGCGCGTGGACTGCTTAGAACGCTGCACGGCCCCGACAAACACAAGGTGACCTCTGGTCAACGCCGTCGCTGTTTTCACTTCTAGCGGGGGCTTTGCTGTGAGCTGTTCCGCTTTCCGCCGGCTGCCTCCGGGGGTGGCTACTGTCTCTCCCTCCCTCTCCCTCCCTCTCTCCCCCTCTCTCTCCCTCTCTCCCTCCCCTTTCCCTCCCTCCCTCCCTCCCTCCCTCCCTCCCTCCCTCTCTCTCTCTCTCTCTCTCTCTCTCTCTCTCTCTCTCTGATGAATGTTTCCATCTCATCTTGTAACCTTGAAGTCTAGGGGTCGTATGGCCTGGTGTTCTCTGAGCAGTTACCCCGGCCAGCACTGTCCCTGGGCCCCACGACCTGCCTATGGCTGGTGCTCCCTGGGCGGGCAGGCCCCGTCGGGCTCTCTGTCCTCCATCCTGGTGACAGCCGGCACTCGCCCCTGCTGCTGAGCAGCCCCTGGGAGAGCCGCACAGGCTCATGGGAACACTGGGCAGGAGGAGACCCGCTCACCTGGCGGAGACAGTGGGGTCCGAGACGCAGCTCCCCATCTGTCCTGATGCCCTTGCCTGTCAGCTGCCTGCCCCCTCGCCTCCTGAAACCTTGGTGACAAACCTGTGACCTTCAGAGACTTGCCCAGCAAACTGTCACCGACCGCACCTTCCCGGGGGCAGGGCTGCCAGACAGAGCTCAGGTGGCTGAAGGGCAGCCAGGCCGCCCACCAGGGGCCTGGCCCTGTGTCTGCCTCTCCTGGAAGCCACACGCAGGGCCCACGGGGGCCGAGCAGGGAGGCTGGAAGCGGCCAGGGTCCGGGCATTGTCCAGGGCTGGGAGGTGTGTGCGTGCACCTCCCGCCAGGGCGCCGGTCTCCAGGAGACGCCAGTCCTACCGCACAAACCCAGGAACCTGCTTTGGCCTCCTGAGCTCAGGTTGTGGTCGCTGGCACCTCCGGGGTCTCGTCTGGCAGGGAGGAGGGTGGGCAGGTCCCGCCCTGGTCTCCTACCCCACTGGCCTCCGGTGGGACTCAGAAATATGACCTGGCCCCTCTAACCTCCGTCCCAGCAGTGGCCACCCGTGTGCCGTTTCCTCCGTGGCCCCTGAGGAAGGCTGAGCCTGGGCTGGAACGGCCCTTCCTTCACTCTCAGTCTGGGGGTCCCCTCACCCCCTGGGGCACCCCGCAGCATTCGAGGGCGTGGGCTGCCGACCTGCTTGTCCTCGGCGCCGGCTGTCGGCGTCAGCTGGAGGCAAAGGGGGCAGTTTTCTGTCGGGGCAGCTGATCCCCTGCAAGCAGAAAGGATTTGTCTTAATCTGATCCAGCACTTTTGCTTTTGAGCTGGGTGTTGTTTGAAAGGGCAGACCAGGGATCGCTTGGAAAGGACATTTGCTGGAGAGGGGGGAGTGGTGGGGGGGAGTGGGGGGGAAGTGGGTACAACTGTATTTGAACAGCAATTTTAAAAATGTTAATAATGTTAATAAATTACAAAAAAAAAAGACATGTGCGATGTCGCCCTAAGGAGCGAGGCAGGTGTGTGTGCAGGGCTGGAGGACTGTCTGGTTACCCTGTTCTCCTGTCTTCCCTTTGGTGAGATCAACGGGCCTTGCTTCAAATACAGTGTTTCGCCCTGGCTGGCGTAGCTCAGTGGGTTGAGCGCGGGCTGTGAACCAAAGTGTCGCAGGTTCGATTCCCAGTCAGGGCACATGCCTGGGTTGTAGGCCACAGCCCCCAGCAACTGCACATTGATGTTTCTCTCCCTCTCTCTATCTCCCTCCCTTCCCTCTCTAAAAATAAATAAAATCTAAGAAAAAAGAAAAATACAGTGTTTCTCAGCCTGTGGAATCTGCCTGATACAAGTAAATTCGCGTTTTAGGAAAACACGACATTTCCCGACCTGTCGCTTCTCGAGCCTCCTCCCGTGAAGGGGCACCTTCTTTCTGCACGTCTGCTGAGCGCCCAGAAGGGGGAAGGCCCCCCCACCCCCCGCCCGTGCGACGGGTCGGCTGCAGGGCCCCAAGCCTCCCCCACAGGCACGCCGTGTGCCCCTCGGGGCACGAGCAGCCACCCCCACCCCGTTCTCCCTCACCAGCGCCTCCCCCCGGCAAGCTCGGGAAGTGTCTCTGTGGCAGAAAGGAAAGCCCTTCTTTGTCCTGGCTGCCCCCGCAGCCTCGGAGGCGCGGCTGCGGGCTGAGGCTTCGCGTGCCGAGGGCCTGTGCGGACCCCGGCTCCCCTGCCCACCCGGGAAGTCAGTGGGCCCGGCCGGCCGGGCCGCCAGGGCCCCTGCTGGCGGTGACCTGAGACCGGGAGAGGTGAGCTGCTTTCCGTGTGAGAGGGGAGCTTGTCTCTCGCCGGGACACTCGCCTTCGAAGGTGCGTATCTCCCAAGGTGACCTTTGCATACCTGGTGTCATCGGTGCTCCTCAGGGGAGAACACCTGTGCATAGGCCATCACCGCGGGCCAGGTGAATCCCACGGCCCCTTCCGTCCGCGCTCCGCTCGCCGCTGGCTCACCGGGCCTCGAGCCTGCGGCACAGCACCGTTTCTCAGCCCGGTGTACCCCCCAGCCCGGGGTTCGGCCCCTCTGTCACCGAGAGGGGACCTTGGCCGGAGCAGGGGCCTCCTTCCCTGGCACCGGGCCTGTGCTCCTTCTCTTCCTGCCCCCGACGCCTCGCGTGCCTTCCTCAAGGAGCCTGCCCCATGCCCCCTCTGCTTTCCCAGCCCTTAAGAAAACCGGCTTAAACTGGTTCCACCTGCAAAACACCCGCCTGCAGGTTGCAGGAAGCGACCGCTGGCTCTTAGACGTTGCACCTGCAGAGGAGGACCCCGCCCGCTGTGGACCTGCGTGAGGGGTCTGACTTTGCACGGGGACACTGTGTGTGCACAGATGTACACACACACACGCACACGCATGTTCAACTTTGATCTGTCTTTCCCTGCAGGACTCCTGAGTGCCCACGGGTGCTCTCCTCCATGAGACAAATGCCTTAGAAGGCGCAGTCTGCCAGTCACTCCTACCCGGCACAGCAGATGCCACATGCAGGCGGATGACTTCAGCGTTCTGATGACGCTCAAAATAGCCCTGCGTGTCCTTGATGAATTCCTTCGTAACCTTTAGCCGTTCTGGAGACTTGAGAAGGACTCTCCTGGTTAAATAAAAACTCACCTTTCCTCCAAGGCAGGGGGACTCGCTCCAACTCAGAGGACCGGGCGGAGGGAAACCCCCCCCCCACCCCCCGGTGCTGCTGCCCCGCGCTGGCCCCTGCTGCCCCGCAGAGAGGGATGGCGGAGGGCTGGGCGTGGCGGCCGGGCGAGGGAGCCGGGTTACAGGAGGGACTGTTCATTTCTCATCTACGGGGAACAGTTTTTTTCAGGGAGGACCGGACTTGGCTTTTGATTTCATTGATTATCATGTTTCTTTCTGACCCCGTCGAGATGCAGGAAGGCAAGGGCACCCAGCAGACAGGAGGCTGCCTCTCCAGGGCCCCTGCCAGAGCGGGCTGCGCCTCGTCTGGTGGCCGAGGGTGGGGCCAGATCCTCTCTGGCACGTGGGGGGGGGGTGCGCAGAGCCTGGCTCTCTCCCGTCCTCTCCTGCTCCCCGCCCCTGGAGGAAACAGACACTTGGAGGGGGTTGGGGGGAGTTGGGGGAGCGGGGGGCAGTTCCGGCCCTCCAGCCCCGCCCCTACATGTTCCAGGGGGAACGCTCCTCTCCCCTCCATGCACACAAGCCTCAGGTGGACCCACGCGGATAAAAGGAAGGCACCGCCTCTGGGTTTTCTTCAGTTCCTGCAGACGAAAGGCGTCCCTACGTTTCCTTTGCCATCTGCCCCGCTGTAGCCAGTGGTTGGGTCTCATGAACAACCACGAAATAGTGGGGTACTGCACGAGAGCTAGTTCTTCCTAATTAGTGCCTCCCAGCACCCAGAGGAGCTTTCTTCCCCTGTCAGAAGACCACGTCCGAGGCCGTCGTTGCCTAGGAGACGAGTCCCACCCGGTTCTAGGGACGGGGAAGCTTGCGGCTGGGAGGCTTGTTTCGGTTTCTGCCTAGTCGAAGGGAAAAGGGGCCCCTCTGAGAAGGAGGATGAGATCGAACCTAACTTGACCACAAATGTATTTCTTAGCCCTGTGTCTTTCAGGGCAGAAAGCTGTCGTAAAAACCAAAAATCCCCCACGACTGGGCTTGGCTTGGAACTGCTGCCCCACCCCCCTCCCACGCCCTCCCACCTGCTCGTTGGCCTGCAGGCCCCTCCCCGCCCACCTTCCCCCCTTTCTCTGATGCCTGGCCTCCCTGAACGCCCGCTCATCAGAAGTCAGGGGCATGTCACTATGAACTTCTCCCGAGGTTCTGAAGCCGCCGGGGCCCCAGGCCCCACCATTAGTGACGCGCGGACCAGACGGAAACAGAGAAGGTCTGTCAGTGTTTTATTTCCTCCCGTCCTCGCAGTGCACGGAAACACGGTTAGAGATAAAACAAAATGCCAGGTACATTTGGCTATGGCCAACAACCAGACACCTTAAACATGAAGTTCAAAGCAAAACAGCTTGCAGAGGGTCAAATAATCGTGGGCAAAGTGATTCCTTGATGCTTGGGACACACGGCGACCCATCTCCTACTTGGGGCTTCAGCTGTGGGGGCCAGGAGACCCCCGCAGGGCAAAAGTTCAGCGCAGGAAACTCCATCCCGCCGTCGCCACCGCAGCGGGGACCCCCGAGCCCAGGGCAGCTTGGGGCTCCGGTCCCCCTCCTCATCCTTTAATAAGAGAGAACGTTAACTGGCGACGGTGCTTCCCGACGGGTCTGCCGGCTGCTGGGAACGCCCCCCGCGCCTATTCCGGTGAGCCCGGCCGCCGAGTGCTCCGCCGGAGGCCGGATTTTGTTTTGACGCAGGCTCCAAGGTTGGCCGCGCTACTCTGGGGGCCAGGGAGACACAACGGGGAGTCCGGAGTTCTACCCTGTCCTTCGAGGGAGACCCCAGGGCTTCGGAGCGAATCAGCTCTGCAACGCCGCACCGAAGTCTGTGATCCTCAAAAACTGCACTCGGACAACCGGGCACCAAAGCGGACCCGCTTCCCAAACCAGCACCCCAGCGCGCGACCCTGGGGTGTCGCCGCCGGCTCCCATCGGGCGCAGAGGGCTGGTGCGGCTGCTTGGCCCGGACACTGCACCGACTACCTGGTCTTTCTCCGCCTGCTGAGGTCGGGCAGCCTCCTTGGACAGGGTTTGGCTGGTGGGAGCCGGGATGCCTGTGACCTCTAGCACGGAGATCACGGCGGGGCGGGGGAAACACGGGAAGAACCCCTCCCCCTCTTGGAGCGCAGCCCTTTGGTCCACTGGCTCGGCAGGTGTCGCCTCTGTGAGCTGTGGCACTTGGAGCTGGCCTCCCGCCGCACCCGGGGCTAGCGCGGCGCCCTAAAAGCTGCACCACCCACGCGGAGCGCACAGCTCCGGGGAAGAGGGTGAGAGTGAGGGAGGCTTGTACTGTCGCCGCCCAAAGCAGCTGGAATCGACCCGGGACCCCCACAGCGCAGACGCTCCGTCGAACATCCGCTCGGGTCACTTTAATTTCCCGGGGGTGGGAGCAGCAAGGGGGAGCCCGACAGGCCCCTCCTCTGGGAGAGCCGGTTCCGAAGGCGCTCCTCGCTGGCCCTGCAGTCCTGGGCGCAGGGCGCGGGGGCGCGCAGGAGCCGGGCGGCGGGAGGCCGTGCCGAGGTCGCGCCGCAGGTCCGGAGGGCGCTCACTTGGAGAACTGCGCCGGCACTGCTGCCAGGCCCAGGCCGGCCGGGACTAGGTGCGGGAACTTGCAAACCGCACAGGTGCAGAGGCCAGGGCCGCCCGCGGCGCCTCCGGGGAGCGCGAACTGGCCGCACGGCGGCTCCTCCAGCGCCACCGACAGGTACTTGGCTGGGCGCAGCGCCTCAGGCGGCCCCACGGCGCCGGGCGCCAGCAGCACGGACCCCGGCGCGGCGGCGAGCAGGGGCAGGCCAGCCAGCAGCAGGCGCGGTGCGGCCGGCCCGGCGCCCTCGCCCAGCGCGCGGCGCAGCTCCTGCAGCGAGCTGCCCAGCAGCAGGATGTAGTTGCGGGCGAGCAGCAGCGTGGCGATCTTGGAGAGCTTGCGGCCCGGCGCGCCCTGGCAGTGCGCCGCCGAGTAGGGCAGGATGACCTCGCGCAGCGCGTCCATGGCCAGGTTGAGGTCCTGCATGCGCTTCCGCTCGCGGCTGTTGATCTTGCGCCGCAGCTGCTGCTGTTGCTCCTCCTTGGGGTCCGCCCGCGAGCCGCCGCCGGCGGGCGCTCCCGGCCCCGCTCCGGAGCCCGGAGGTTCGGCGGGCGTCTCGGGCTTCTCGCGAGCCGTCTTGGGGAGCAGAGGGGCCGTTGTGGAGGAGGCGGACGAAGAAGAGGAGGAGGAGGAGGAGGAGGAGGGATGCTGCCGGTAGCCCACCAGCTCGTACAGGGAGGCTCCGAGCTGCAGGTCTCCTGGACGCTGTGGCCGCAGCATGGTCGCGGGGGCCGCGTTCACGCGCGCCTGGGAAACCGCATAGTACATCTGGGGCGTAACGCGGGCAGCCGAGGGAGCGGTTCAGGAACGCCCCGGGGTGGACCCTTGGGCAGACTGCCCCTCCCCGCGGACCTGCGCGCGCGGGGAGCCGACGGCAAAGCAGCCGCCAGTCCCCGACCCCTTTAAACCCGATTTGGGAACCTACGGGGCCCGGGGCGGCCGGGTGCAGCCAATCGGGGCGCGAGGCCGGGCGCAGGCGCGTGCTCATTGGCCAGCCGCCCGAAGCGGGCGCGGAGGTGCGGCTGGCACCGCTCAAGGAGGTTATTGTGAGCGCCCTGGTCACAGGACAGGCCGGGGAGGGAGGGGGGAGGGGGGGAGGGGCCAGAGGCGTCTTTTCGGGTGACGCGCGGCTGTTCGCGGAGCTCCGGCTGCAGTGGTGAGGCTGAAACTCCTGAGCCTACCCCTTTCCCTCTCTGCCTCCACTCCTCGGTGCATGTGTATATGCATGCGCGTGCTTATTGCAAACTGCGGTCACAGACGCACGACGTAACATATTCCGTCTCGACCATTCTTAAGCGTGCGGCTCAGCGGTGCTCGGTGCGTTCGCGTCGTTGCGCAACCACCCCGCAGAACCCTCTTCGTCTTGCAAAACTGAAACTAATCTCATTAAACAGCAGTTGCCCTCTCCCCCTCCCCCCCTCCCCCCAACGCCCTGGCAACCCCGGGACTTCCGTCCATGACACTGAGGACTCTGGCTACCACCTGGAAGTGGAACGGTGACTGCTTGGCTTCAACGACCGGCTTATTCCGTTGAGCGCAGTGCCCTCAGTGTTCCTCCTGGGTGCCGCCTGCGTCGGCATTTCCTTCCTTTTCAAGGCCGAGTAACATTCCTTTCCTTCGCGGGTGGGTGCGTGCCTCGCTTTGCTTGCCCGTTTTTGCGCGCCGAGGCGCTCGCGTGGCTTCCACCTCTTGGCTCTTGTGAATAACGCTGCTATGAACTTGGCCGTAACATGGATTATTTGTGCTTTTTTTTTTTTAATACCTGATTTCCTGCCAGGGTTTAAAAATATACTTTTATCTTCATTTCTACCAAGTTTCAAGAGCAACATTTCTGGGTTCCACGGCCAGCGGCATGCGTGTGGCTGCTCCCCACCACTCCCTCTTGCCCCCCCGCCCCTCGAGGAGAAGGCGTTTAGGGCCAGGGAGCTCCCTGGGTCTGGCCTCTTTCCTCCTCCCCAAGGGACATGGGCCCATCTTATCAGTGACCGGGCTCTTGCTTCATCAAAACCTCGCACGGCGATTGGCCTCTCGTTGGGCAAAAACAAAACAAAACAAAACAAAACAACAGACATCTGTTGCGGGGGCGGGACTGAGCTGTCTCTTCCCCAAACACGATAGTATCACTTGGTTGCTATGGACGTTTCTGCCCTGTCACTGGGGCGCCTTGCCGTCACCTCGTGGCAGAGTGGCTCGGGGCAGCTGGCCTGCTGGACCTGCACCTCTGCCAGCCCGTCAGGTAGTCACCCTGGGGCTGTTTAAAGGTGGCTGGTCACGAGACCGCTGAGTCGGAATCCAGTTCCCGGCTGCAGCAGCGCTGCTGCTGGGGCTCCACAGAGGGAGGCGGCGTGGCCGACGGCCCCCACGGGGACCGTCCTCGTCCTCTCGGGAATCTCCGAGGACGGAGGGCCGGGGTGCCGGAAGGAGGTGCACTGCACCTCGGTCCTCTCCGGTGGCAGCAGAGGGATGCCGGCCCCGGGGGCTGCCCGCCCACCCGCCTGCCACAGGAGCCGAGTCCAGCCTCAGGAGCCCGCGGGCTGTGCTGGCGACATCAGGCCTGCCCAGGTCTCGTTCCCATCCTTGGATCTCTGTCCCCTAGGCTCCCCCTGGTCTCGGCCCGGGGCGGCCTCGCTGTGCCTCAGGCCCAGCCCCATCGTTCCCCTCTTCTCGGAGCCTCGGGGGCTTCTCATGGTCTTCCTCCTCTCTGCATGCTTGGTAGACCTCTGAGGGCGCGTCCCCGAGCCTGGGCTACCTGCAGCCACCTCTGCGCTGGCCGCGACTGTTCTGAGGGCGGGTCATTCCCTCCCCCCCCCGTTTCTGTGCCCTCCCACAGCCCCACTTCGTGCCCTGCGACTGCCCCGTGGGCCGGGGCGTCTGAGTGCGGTCTGACGTCTCCACCAGCTCCAGCCCGTCCCTAGGAATGCGCAAACTCCCAACAGTGCGTCCGTCCACGAGTGTGCTGTGGGTGTCGGAGAGAGGGGAGGACCCTGGTAGGACCCCTCCCCCGCCCTCCCTCGGGGGGCCCTGGCTTGGCGTGATGTGGGGGGACCTGCCTAGGGGGAGAGGAGGAGGCCTGGGCAGGAAGGGGCTGTGGCTCCAAGCAGAACCAGACAGGAAGGAGAAAGGCCAAGGAAATCGCCTTCAGACTTTCTAGCCGGAGGTTGAACACCTCGCTAATTATCACCTTTTCAAACCATCTGTACGGAAATCCCAAGGGGATTCTCTCCAGCTGGACCAGGCTCCCAGGGAGCTGAGGTGGGGGGAGGGGGGCCACGGCGGGCAGGACTGGTCGTGGGCGGAAAGGGGGTGGGCAGAGGCCAGTCTAGAGCAAGCCAGGGCTCATGAGTCCAGGGGTTCCAGCCATGTCCCAGAAGAGAGGGCCCCCTGGCCCCGGGCCGGTGAACCCGTGCCAGTCCCCGTGGCCACGCCCACCCTCTCCCGGAGGAGTCCTGTGCCCTGGGGCCCAGGTGGTGAGCCAGGGAAGGCCTCCCTCTGCCTTCCTCTCCCGTCCACGTCCTGCCCACAGGAAGCGGATGTGGAAGCGGGTGGGAGAGACAGCAGCTGACCTCCGACAGAGGGGCCCAAATAGCACCCCGGACATTTCCCGAGACCCCCAGCAGCGCCCCAGAATCAGAGAGGGAAGCAGCCGCGCTGCTCTTCCCCCAGAGTCCCCCCCTCACTGGGGTGGCCCTTGACCGCACTGCATCTCCGCGGTGGGGCAGGAGAGCTCCTCCCACCCCCGGCCAAGGGCACCGGCACTGGGACACGCTGGCCGGGGGGGGCGGGTGTTTATAGGGTCCCGAAGATGGGCGAGCCAGGAGAGGGCCTCGGGTGGCCGTGCGGCCTGGGCACAGGACTCGGCCCTTGTGGAAGAAGCTGGTGACTTGGAGGCCCCTTCGGCTGGGCCGGAGCCCCAGCGGCAGGCAGAGTGTGACTGCTGGCCCGGGCCAGCTCGTCATCAGGGCCCCTGGCAGGGCCCTGCGGCTGTCTGAAAGGGGGTAGCCGCCTGGCGGCTCCCACTCAGGACGTGCTGGGGGAGCAGCTCGTGTCCGCCATGACGATGCCCTGTCTGCGCCTGAAGGGGCTCATGCGTGTGTGTGTGTGTGTGCATGCGTGTGTGTGTGTGTGTGTTGGCTCCGTTTCAGGTGTGTGTCTCTGGCTTCCTTCTCCCCCTACAGAAACCTAGAGCACCTCCCACCCTCCGCCCCGCCCCCTCTGGCCCACGGTCCCCACGGCCTCCCACCCTGCAGCCCGTCGGGTGTGGGGTCGAGGAGCCCGAACCTTCGCAGTGGCGGGCAGTGGCGGGCAGTGGCGGGCAGTGGCGGGCAGTGGGGACCTGAAGAGGCACCCTGTGTTTTGGACGAAGTCCGTCCACCTGCTCTGTGAGCACAGACAGGCCGTGCCCTGCAAGTCTTGTCCCCCCGCCCCCCCCAAAGACCCCGACCTCCCCCTCGACGCCGCCCCCCCGCAGAAGGCCGGCCACGTGTGCACGGCCGTCTTTGCTAAAACGTGCTGTTTAGACCGGCTGGAGCTTGCAGCCGTCAGGACAGAATGGAGCTCACTTTTTAAAGGGCTGCTTTCTTCGAAGAAGGGCGAAACCCTTTGGAAAGTCTCGGTCACCCCGGAGGCGTTGAAATTCATGCCGTCGCCACGGGAAGTGGCAGATGGCGAGTGCTTGGCCTAGATTGGGCTCCGGTCCCGCTCAGGTCTAACCGCAGCCAGAACAGGGGGCTGGGCCGCTCTGGGGGTGCAGGGAGGAGCAGCAGAGACGGGGAACAGGGACGGGACGGGGCTCGCCCTTCGGTGAGTGTTCTCCCACGGGTGGGGCGGGGCTCTGACAGACAAGCGGTCCCCTCTCGCCGGGGACCGCCTCGGCAGAACCTGAGTCACACTCAGAAACCGTTCAGGTTAAACCAGGGCTCCTGCTGGGGACACGGGAAACAGTGGGAACTGCGTGCGTCTGCAGAGGGAGCGCCAGTGAGTCGGCCTGTTATGAACCGACACGACATCTACAGTTATTTGCAGTGTTGTCCTAAAGCCACGTAGCGGTGGCCATTGTCCTTCTTTCCGGGTGGCAGGCCGCAGGCAGGAATGCGATCTCCCGTGTTCTGGCGAACACACTAAGGATTACCAAACGCACTGGACATGCTCTTTCACATATTATAAGGAGGCTTGTTCTCTTTTATTTTAAATAAATGCCATTTGGACCCGATTTTAAGAAAGTTTACTACTTACAATTATTTCTAATCCAGATTTGTCCTGTGGCTTTTTTTTTTTAATATGGAAAAAAGTTAAAAGACAAGTAGGGAAAGCAATTAGGTGGCGTTTGAGTATTTCTTTCAGCTTTTTTTTTTTTTTTAAGGCAATAAGCTGGACTCGGCTGTTGGTGACCGGGCCCGGAACTCAGGGCGCCCCCCCCCAGATGTGGGGACCATCATCACTGCTTCTGTGAGTCCGAACGCTGACGCTTGCCCCTCGTTCGAGTCCCGTGGTGATGCAGCTCATTACCTGCCGCTGTGTGTCTGGGAAGGAATCCTCTGTAAGAGAAACTTCAGATAATCCTTGTGGAAAGCACGAGAATAGGGAAGGACATCTTTTTGTTTTAAAGCGGGTCCGAGATAGCTCCTGCCACAGCGAAACTCAAAAGCTCATCCGCCAGACTTCAGGCAGAGAAATGGGCCGGTGCTAACGGAGGGGTGAGAATACCCCGGAATTCAGTTATGTGCGCTCGCGCAGGCCCCCCGGCGTCTGAGGGGCTGGTTTGGGGCGGAATGCGAGTATTCTCCGAGTCCCCCCGCAGCCGGGAGCTGGGGCCAAGAGCTCCAAAGGGTTGCACCGGCACAATGAAAAGACACAATTTGCTTGG